TGGGCTAAATGGGTGACATGCATTAAAGAGGACACTTGTTAGGGTAAGCACCAGGTGTTATATTAAGTGATGAATCACTAAATTCCACTCCTGAAACCATTATTATACTATATGTTAACTACCTTGGATTTAAATAAAAAATAATATAAAGTAAACAGAAAAAAACGATTTGTGGATTTTGTTTCATTGTCTTCTGGAAGTTATGGTTTCAGAGTAGACATTTGAATATAACATAAGTTTAATTTGTTTGAAGTGAAACTTCTCATGTATCTCTTCTTACTAGTTAAACGTAGTTGCTTCTTGACATAGAAACTGTAATATATTAACAGAAAATATCTTGAAATCGTGATCTTTCCAATTCACTTTCTTAATTTGTTGAGAAATTCAATTTTCCCAATTTTTATTCCTAAATTATTCTATTATATCCTTAATTATTTCCTATTGTTTTCTTCTTTAGAAACTAATAATTAGTTGAAGGTGGGCTAACCATAATCTATCCTCTATAGCCATTATCTTCTCTCATTTTTTGTCTTTTTATTAATTTACTAATAATCTGAGCAATAAAAAAGTTTATTTTGTGTCTTACTGTTTCAATTTTCTGTAATAATTAATATGCTTTTTACTGCTTTCAGCATGGTTTAATTTCTATTTCCATGTTCTCAGTTTTAAAGACTTTTTTAAGTTTATTTTGTGTTCAGTTTATAGTGGCCTTACTTTCTTTATAGTATGGTATTCTATTTTAATGCAAACAGTATTCTTTTGATTCTTACTGAGATCATTAAATAGATGTTCTTAATAAACTTATTTCATGGAAAAAGATTTTCTTCTGACATATGAGGGACAGTTCCCCTTCTCCTTCCCATTCTTTTTCTTCACTCATCCCTAAATAAAGATCTATTTCAGGAAAAGATACACCTCACAACTTTCCTAACTATCTCAGTTTGCGCAGCTGTTGAAGAATACTCTGATACTTGTGTTGCCTATGTAACTCCCAAGATAGAGCAGATTTTCATAAATGATAAGTTATCCTTCCTCTTTATAAATGCCTCCCCTAGCCTCCAGACAAAATACAGATATAGGGAATGGGTCTGGGCTGAGACAGTTGATGTTCTAGTGCCTATCTCAAGTTACTGTAATCTCTACTCATTTGTATGAGCACTCTGACTCAAGTCTCATAGGAACAAGGAGAACATTCAGAGTCAGTAACAATTTGATTCTAAACAAGTTATATCAAAACTCAGGCTTTTTATTTTCTGGTACACATAAAAAAGAAAAAGGGAAAATAAAAAAAACATAAATAAATATTGGAAAGAAGGTAATGAGACTATAAACAATTGTACTTAGAAGAAATTAATATTCTCATTTTACATATTAAGAACAAAGTCACCTACAAATATCTAATCATTATGTTATATACCTGAAACTAATATAATGTTATGTGTAAATCAACAATAAAATTTTTTAATGGTTAAAATTTACCTTAAAAATATCAAAGACAAACTACTTGACTAAGGTCACTGAGATACAAACTGTTAGAATTAGGGTGCAGGGATGCCTGGGTGGCTCAGGTCATGATCTCGCAGTTCTTGAGTTCAAGCCCCATGCCCAGCTCTGTGCTGACAGCTCAGAGCCTGGAGCCTGCTTTGGATTCTGTGTGTGTGTCTCTCTCTGCCCTTCCTCCACTTGCACTCTGTTTCTCTCTCTCTCTCAAAAATAAACATTAAAAAATTTTAAAAAGAGAATTAGGGTTCAGACAGTCCTTTAGACTTAACATGATTTCCTCTACATTACAGGAAATCTGGAAAGATACTTTATGAATATTTTGTTTTCAAGAAAGTATTCTAGCATCATATATACCAAGTGGTATAGTATATTATTTTATTATTTTTAAAAAAGAATTCTTATTGTGAGAAAAGTAGCACACAAGAATATAACCTTCTACTAAAAGCTAGCCCATCTTTACATTAAAAGGCTGGGAAGGGAGAAGTGGAAAGAGACAAATACCATGTGATTTCACTCATATGTGGAATTTAAGAAACCAAACAAACAGCAAAGGGAAAAGAAGAGAGAGAGGCAAACCATGAAACAGAGTCTTAACTACACAGAACAAACTGATGGTTACCAGAGGGGAGGGGTGAGGGGGATGGGTGAAATAGGTGATGGGGATTAAGAAGTGCACTTGTGATGAGCAGCAGGTGATGTGTGGAAGTGATGAATCACTATTTTATAATGCCTGAAACTAATACTACACTGTATGCTAACTACTGGAATTCAAAAAAAACCTTAAAACAATGTTAACAAAAAAAATAAACAAAAGAATAGAACTGTAAAAAAAAAAAAAAAGAAAGAAAATACAAGTGCTTTCTGAGCTGAACTATTTGGTTAATGCCATCCACAGTCTCAATCATTGTCAAACAGGATCTTTAAATTGTCACTAGCTTGAATGCAAAATTGACAAAGTAAATATATAGCATTCATTTCTAAACTTCTTTAATGTTACTTATGTTGTCACTCATTTCTAACAGAGGTGAAGAAGTTATCAGGACAGATGAGCATCAACCAAGATACGGATTTACAAAGAAAAGCAGTAAACTGTTCATTAACAAAAAAGGAGATACTTTTCTATAAAAGTATAGTGTATTCATACTCTGTTTCTAGTAATATCTACAAAATGATTAACTGATTCAACAAATATTGCCAAATTAAAATTTGGAAGGAGGTTTGGGGAGTATAGAATCTGATCAAAGGCAAATTGATTATTTTATTAATTATTTCACCCAAATGATGATAGGTTGTTTACCCCATTATACAACCAAATACTTTTCTCTGATATCTTTCTCAAATGAATGGTAAAAAATTCTGACTTCAAGTTCTCTTTTTTTCTAGATTCTTCATCCCAACCTTTCTACATACTACAATCTCAAAATTTTTATCATATTATATGATATTTTCCTATTAGGATACAAAAGAATGATTTTAACTAATATAACCTGTTCTTTTATACTTTTTATGTTCTTTTGTAGTTTTCCTATAAAATATAAGGTCTCATTTTTTATAGGCTATAGCTTTTTATTTAATTACTAGTTAAACAAAGAAGCATTTTCTAATGAAGATGAAAATAAACCCAAATAAACTTACCACATGAAGAATTTTATTTTCTGTTTCATACACAGTACAATCCTTTAAAAAAAGAAACATATACATTAGTTTTCAAAACAAATCAAGCATTCCTTTTAAAATACTTTCTTAGGAAATGTACAACAATTTGAAAAAATCTTGACAATTCAAGCAAAACCAGCAATAAGAATGTGAATAAAATCTGGAAAGCTATATACCAAAATATTCATAGTGGTTAGCTCTGATGGTCAGTTACACAGATATTCTTATATTTGCTTAACTATATTTTCTAATTTTACACAGAATACAATACAGAATAATATACATCAGAAAAAATATTGTAACCATTTTCTATCTAAACTTTTACATCTGATAAATACATTTCATTGAAATATTTCCAACATTTCAAATACTAATTTATTATAGATTGGAACATTAGGAAAAATACTAGTATTTACTTCTATAGTCGTATCTTAATCTCAAAAATGCTTTTATATTTTCAATTATTTCCAGCTATTAAATATCCTTAATATTATAAAATTGGTACATATCAAGTTCATAGTTCTTAACATAAATTTGAATCCTTGAAATTGTAAAAAAAATTATTTTAAAAAATCACCATTGTTTTTTTACCTGCAATTGCTAGACTTACAATGAGCAAACATATAGCAAAGTGATCTTTGCTTAGAAACTTCTGTTTCTATGGCTTAGTTTCCTGAAGAAATTCATAAAATGGGCATGACATTAGTAGTAACACAATAAGGGTGTTGTGAGGATTAAGTGAGAAGATGGATGAATGGCTTAGCACAGTATCTGGCATACAGTGATAAATACATTTTAACTATGAATTACTGTTGTTCTGTGTCTTTATTTTTAAAATGTAAACTAATTACCTTTACTTCAAAGTAGAAAGTTAACTAATTATTATTTGGCTATCTAATTTTGAAAAAATATCCATGTTTCACAGTACTGCATATTTTAAGGAATGACAGCCCATTTCATCTCTTTCCCTGAATTTAATTTTAACAAAAACGAATACTGTTGAACATAGTTTTTGATCATGCCATTTCACCACAATACCTTGTCAGAAGTAGTACATATTCTTATCAGGCGTAAAAGTTTTAAGGTTAAATATAGGTCTGATTCATTTCATAGACTAAATGAAATACTTAAGGATTGGGTCTTGCAATTCTGCAGGGCTTCTGTGCCAAAGAAGAAGTCTGTTACAAATATAGCCATATCTATGTCTTTACAAATTAAGTATGAATTATGTGTACAGAGGAAGAAAGGTATAGATAAAGCATTTATGTTGGAAAAGTGCACTGTACTTACATCAGAATTTGGAAGACTGCAATTTTATAGAATTAATTTCAGACACAATTACATTGGTAAGAGATGAGTTGGGAAAAGTTGGAAAGTTGCCCAGTTTCCCCAAACTGCCTCTACAACTTGCTTCAGCTATAATGGATACAAGTTTGATTATTTACCTACCTTCCCAGAAACAGAGAATATGATTAAATGTTCAACTTCAAAGGAATTTTCCTCAAGGAAAAAAGTAAATATGATCTAAATGTATATCCTGCCAGTGATCACACAGCAATAATCACACAGAGAATAACTATTTCAAGTTCTTTAAAATATAATACTTTACTTGCATATCCCTAGTATGACATAACAAAATAACTATTAAACAAAATCTTACACTATTGGCAGCAATCATATTGTTGGTTAGTTATTGTTAGTCTGTTATTGTTTTGCTGAAACTACTGCATTCCATAGGATAAAGCAAATGAACAATTATGTGATACTACTATCATTCTATCATTTTTGGTGTCCTAAGTAATTTTAGCATGAGACAAAGCAGATACATATATAAGAAGGTCAATAAAACCTAGAGTCTCTTTTTTAAATAAATTTTTTTTTTCAACGTTTTTTTTTTAATTTATTTTTGGGACAGAGAGAGACAGAGCATGAACGGGGGAGGGGCAGAGAGAGAGGGAGACACAGAATCGGAAACAGGCTCCAGGCTCCGAGCCATCAGCCCAGAGCCTGACGCGGGGCTCGAATTCACGGACCGCAAGATCGTGACCTGGCTGAAGTTGGACGCCCAACGGACTGCGCCACCCAGGCGCCCCAAAACCTAGAGTCTCTTAATGCATCATGTACACACGTGTGTATGTATTTCTTAGGCCCACTGAAAAGACATAACTGAGTAATAAATAAACTTCTCACAGTTAGTGATTTTCAAATACTATTTCTTGGGGCTTTGGTTAAGGAAAATGGTGGATTCCAGATCTGGGATATGAATGTATAAGATGAGCCTGGATTATACTGTGACACACATAGAAAGAAGCTATCAAACTATACAAGGATTGTGTGTCAGTAGGACTCAGAAGTCAACATGAAGAGATTTTCACTGGCCAAAGATGGAGCAATTTGGGAATCTAAAAAAATAATAGTTGCAATAGATGGAAACAGTAAACTAAATATTAGTTTTATTTATATGTATTAATACATTTGATACTAAATTAAAAAATCACTTATTAGTTTTACAAAGTCCTTTTTAAATTTTATTTTGAGAGAGAGAGTGTGTGTGTGTGCATAAGTAGGGGAGGGGCAGAGACAGAGGAAGACAGAATCCTAAGCAGGCTCGGTGTTGTCAGTGCAGAGCCTGATGTGGGGCTTGATCCCATTAACCATGAAAACATAGTCTGAGCTGAAATCAAGGGTTGGTTAAACATCTGACTTTGGCTCAGGTCATGATCTCACGGTTTGTGGGTTCAAGCCCCGTGTCGGGATCTCTGCTGGCAGCTCAGAGCCTGGAGCCTGCTTCAGATTCTGTATCTTCCTCTCTCTCTGCCTCTCCCCTGCTCACGCTCAGTCTCTCTCTCTCTCTCTCTCTCTCTCTCTCTCTCAAAAATAAACATTAAATATATAAAGTACATCCAAATATATTTACTAATACTGTGTAATACTGAATATATTAAGCAAATTGGACAATGCATAATAGATGTACTTTTCCTCTTGTTTCGGCGAATATTAATCAACTGTCTTCATGATACAGAGATAAATAAAACATGTCCCCTGACTTAGAAAACCACAGTTTAAAGAGACAGGCATTCACATAAGTAAGTTAAAATATGTAGAATTCCAAAGTCTTCATGAAGTTTGTTTCAATAACTTTATAAGTATAAATGCGACAAAAATATACAAATCCACATGTGAAAGGTCAATTATTTAAAATTTTAAAATATTGACATATTTCTCATTAAAATGCAAAGTGACCACTGTGTTGTGCTATACATTGCTCAAGTCAAATTTCAAACTTTGTAGAATTTTTCATCAGCTGCTGCTCCTCAGTGACTAAAAGAAATACATCTATAATCCAAGCTTTAAGATTATTCAAAGAATGAAGTACTGATCCATACGTGATAATTCTGACATGACTCCAAAAGACAAAGTCTAAAAGAGATATATCAAGTGACTGAGGTGGCCAAGGTTTTACATCAGTCGAAAAAACTGTCACAAATATTAAAATTAAAAACTATTTGAAATAAACAATACTAAAGGACTATAAAATAAATTGAAATAATTAAATTTGCAAAGGATGTGTGTGTTACATTTATAGCATATTCACACATGTGAACCTATTAAAGCTTAAATCTGTACTAACATATTTGGGACACTCACAATTACTATAATAAAGGCAGGATCATAGCGCTGGGCAAGCAGAGGAGAAAACAGCTAGCTCTGCCTTAAAAAGAAATTAATAAAGGCAGCTTTAATTGGGTTTTGGAAAAAGTATGTTTTTGGGCAAATAAAGGCATTACTGCAAAAGCAATAAAACTGCACTCAAACACTGTTAAACTACTGCAGTAATTTTCAGATTTTACTCTGTATACATGTAACAATCACTTGGAAAGTGGGTTAAAATGCATATTCCCAGGTTCAGCCCTAGATATACAGATAGGGTAGACCTGGAGTGGGGGTCCTAGCATGATTTTGATAAAGATGGTACTGTGAAAAACAATCTATTTTACAGGAAATACTGTGATAGAAGAATGCCAAACCAAAAATGATCAAAAATATAAAATCTGTAAGACAGTAGACTGATTTAAAAATAGTATCTGGTGGCTCATTCCAATTTTCAATTCCTCAGAGCTTTGTGCTTTTGTTACACATTCCTCCAATTTATTGGTTTGTTTCTCTTTTTTCCCTCCTATTAAACTTATTTCTTTCTTTAATCACTTACTACTCTGAATAACTGCTTCTACTTGTTTATATCTCTGCCTTCTTTCAGCCAGACTGGCCTGTTCATTACTGAAAGCCAAAGGCTTTCACAAAGGCTGGACACAGCATAATAAAAACAAAACAGAACAATACAAAAAAAGTATATATTAACCTGCTATTTTATATTAGGGAGAAGAATAGAAACTAAATGACTGTGTTTTATTTAGTTAAGCTATCATGTTAAGGAGTTCATTTTATCATGCTAAGTATTTAAATAGCCCTAGGTACCTTAGGGGATTAATTTTATTAATAAGTTATTTTATTTCCATCCAGATGTGAATTTAAAATATTTGCTTCTCAAGTATGGTTTTATTAACACTTAGGGCCAAATATTTTCCCAAAAGATCATACCCCACGTTTTACAAAGAAAATAGCACTGAATATGGAGAAATCCACATTTTTAACAACCTATTCATGCTAAGGAAAGGTACACCTCTGACGTTCTACTTATTTTTAGGTTAGGATTAAATTTAGATTTTCAAACCTGGATTTAGAGCTATGCCACTATATACTCCCAGGATTTCTCTTCAGAAGCTCATGCTGTCTTTTACTATGCATGCAAAATGACACTTGTAATTTCTTCTTTATCCTTTTATATATAATGCTTCTACAAACCATGTGATGCACATTTAAATGCATCAAATTCCTAACCAGACAATATTCATAAAAATGAGTGTTTATTCAGTTTTCATCATTTTTTTCTTTTTGAAAAGTATAAGTGTGCACAGAAACTGTCTCCCACAGATGAGCTATGTGCTCACACAGGATCATAA